CTCTAACTAATGTCAGCTCATGATAAAATCGTGAAACCAATAAAATCCCTACAAACCAACACTTGAATATTTGATTCTGTTGATCCCCATTTTTTTCAAATGTCTACGACTAATATTTTATTGTGTATTTGTAAAGCCTGGTGAGAATTTAGCGAAAATACGTATTTGCTTACTTAAATGGTGCTCTGTAATTATTTCAATGGGAATTTCTAAACTTGATTAAGCAAGCAATGATACAATTTTATTTATTTTATTTAAACGCAGAAAAACTTGGTACAATATAGCATCAAGAAAGATGTGCCACACAATAATAATAAAACAACATAGATCAAAAGTTTAAAAAAAATATAAGCAGAGAACGGATAAAGAACTTCATCTGGAAGGAAAACAGACATACTTAACAAGTTCAAACAGTATTCGTTAACTATCATCGAGGAGAGAAGAAAGAAGGAAATTGCAACACGTTCGACATTGACTACAATTCTTGACCATATCCGATAACGTTTCGCGCCATCGATTAGAGCTATCTCGCGAACCCGACCAGGGAGCAGTGACGCACCAACCGATGATAACCTAGCACAAATATCCTTCATCCCACGACGCCGTCATGGAGTGACAACCCCTCCGCCTTCTCCAACTCGTCCCAGGGTTAGCGAACAGAGACCTGTACGGAAGCCTCTGGATGACATTCACAGCACATGTCCAAGCCACCGGTGTTTCCAGATGACGACACAATGAGTGGTGATCTCCACTGTGTTCAAACACACGCCGCTGAACCTCAGAATTACTCACGCAATGGTACCATCCACCGAACACAAGCGATCTTGCGGAGACAGCGATGATCGAACACGCAGAGCCGCACATCCTCAGCTGGGAGAGGCCAGGTTTCACAGGCGTAGAGCAAGATAGCCCGCACTGAAGCATTGTACACCCGACCTTTGAAAACCAGGCCAACGTCGCGACGGCGCCAGAGGTGGCTGGAGTTGATGTATGCCACCCTAGCCTTCATTATACAGTTGGAAATCTCATCATTCAACAATAAATGAAATGATACAATATTATTTATTGAATGATGTTTTGAGTATGATTTATTGCTCACTAACATAGAGAAGCAATCATACAACTTTGAGAATACGTCGTCATGCTTCTACAATAGGAGTGTTCATTTGATTGATCTATCATGAGAATGATAAAAAGACACTTTCAAGTGTTGGTTTGCAGGGATTTGATTGGTTTCAAGTTTGACTACGAACTGATTTCATTCAGTTAGACAAACATTGAAATCAAAAAGAATATTGAACAGTCATTTCCCCTTGTTCGGGACTCTTCGGCAACCAACACTCCACTAAAGATCGAACCCAAGATCCTTAGGTCGTGGGGTAAGGTTGTCAGTCATTCAGAATCTAATGGACCATTGTTCCTATCTTCTGCCTATTCGTAATATACCCTACAACCAATGCCATCAGTGAACATCTGTCCCCATGACACGCTGGTGGACCCCACCATTTAGTTCGTGGTTACATATGAAACCAGTCAAAATCATGCAAACCAACACTTGAAGATTACCAGGTACTGGTTTTGTAGGGATTTTTAGTTTCATTGTTTGGAGGATTTCATCATGAGCTGACATCAATTAGAGAACCATTGGAAAACCAACTGGGAGTACTGGGTAGCTGTTTCGTCCCACTAGTTTGGAACTCTACATCACTACGCAACCACCACCAGGGTGCGAACCCAGGATCTTCCGATTACAACGCAAGCTCGTATACCATTCACCCACTGGGACCCAATTCAATGGCTCATGAATTCTAACTTCCACCAATTCGTTATTTAGCGTGACACCAACCAATGTCGGGGTCCCAATGGGTGAATGGTATACGAGCTTCCGTTGTAACCGGAAGGTCCTGGGTTCGAACAAAAGTGGGTGTGTACTACCGATGATTCCCAAACTAGTATGAAACAGCTGTCCAGTACTCCAGTGCTGGTTTTCAATGGTTCTCTAACTGATATCAATCCATGATCAACTCGTAAAATATATATATATATGCTGGTTATCCAGAAAACTTTATCAATTGTCACATTGAAGATAGACTACATCTTGAAAAGACAGCTTCTGTACTAAACAAAGCTATATTTATTAACCTACAATTCAAGGATGACCAGATTATGCAGTTGATAGCTCAAAGAATTCGGTCAGTCATCAAACACACATTCTACGCCCAATCTCTTCCCCTCACATCTCAAACAGTTTCAATCACTCTACCTACGATTAAAGGACGAAATTCTGTGGACTCTACTTCAAACTATATCTACAAGTTCACCTGCGGTTACAGTGACACCTACATAGGTGGAACCAACAGAACGTTCCAATGTCATCGAAAAGAACATGTTCCAAAATGGTTATTAAAACATATAGAAAATCCAAATGCAGTTAATCTGAATAGAAATCCAGCATCAACCATTGCAAAACACTTATTAATCACAAAATCAATATCAATGATTGCTTCACAATTATTTCACACAACTCTAAATCAAGGTTATTGAAAGTGATGGAAGCACTTTAGGGATTAATCACATACATCCTGAACTATGTGTACAAGAAACAATAGACTTCAACCTTCCTTGCCTATTATGGACCACTTGACCTATTTAAATATGATTGATCATTAGTATGTACTTTTGTTTTATATAACTGGGTAATTGGCATGCCTTTTATTTTATTATTGTGAATCATGCTAGTTGTGAAGCGATTGTAGACAAACTACGAAATGATACCATCATCTCGTGAAATTTGTCTTCTGAATGCCTCGTGGACCATTAAGCCAATGGGGCCCGATTAGTCTAATGCTCACTAGTAACTGACTACTGGGTGAAGTTGCCTCAAGTATCAGTGAGAAGTCGTTCCCTAATTAAACTGAGGTCATTTCGTGATCAAACTCGCTGACCTACTTACTCCTCTGCTTTTGATTTTAGATAATTCCTGGCAAGATATGTGTAAAGTTCTGTCTGATAATTATATAATTGAGCCTGAATACTACTACTTCGAAGTGCTCAACTTACTTCATATTGAAAGTTAGTATTGAAGATGACATCTAAGAAGATAAAAAAAAGCTCAGAAAACGCAACTACACCAAAAGCATCATACACTACAACGAGTCAACTATGACTCCGCCTTAAAATTTAATTCAGTCTCGGTTGCTAGATTCCGTCACGAACCAACATCAGTTGGAGAGATCACTGAAAACTAGGGGCCGCTGTACATCTACTTCGTCCTGCTTCTCGAGTTTTCATCAGTACTCACGACCCACGACCCTACCAGGAATCGACCCCGAGACCTTTAGGTTATGAGACTAAGCTAACTGACCATTCAGCCACATGGGCCGGAAGCCAATGACCTGTGAATCCTGTCAATGCACGACATAGCGCTACCCTCATCAAGTCCTTCTATGAGCATCCACTTCACCTCGACATGGGGGATCACACTGGTCATTTAATAACTAGTGTTTTATCATACATACTAGGTAGATCATTAGTACATATACAACATGAAGGAATCAAACACGTTTTTCAAGTTGGAAGAATATCTATTGTAGGTATTCTTTCTTGTCTTAATAACAGAAAACAAACATTTTGAAGGTGAAATATTGATTAACAGAAGAAAACCCACAATTTGGCAGAAGAAGCAGCAAAGACATGATTTCAGGTAAACATAGAGAAGACAGAAGTCATGAAGATAACAAACCAACAGCAATAACAACAAGCACTAGTCACTCACTATTAACGGAAAAAAATTTGAACAAGGTCACTTCCTTTACTTATTTGGGCGGCACAGGTGAGGGATGTTGAAGCCAGACAGGATCGGAAAAGTAAGAAAGACATTCACTAATCTGAAATCAGCGTGAAAATCGGCTACACTTAGCATAAAGAACAAGATTCAAATAAAATTGGAATGAAAGGAAATGTGAAATCAGTGATTCTATATGGTTCAGAGGCTTGGTGCGTCCCCAAAAGCATTTTCAACAGGCTACAGACCTATATATCAACAGCTGCCTTCACTGGCTCGATACTAAAGATTAAATGACTGGCTAGAAAGGATTAGTAACAGGGAAGGAGCTCTGGATAGCAAAACCAACCACTTATTTGTTACCCAAAAAATATGCTGAAGGAAATGGAGATGGATCGAACACACACGCTGACGAGATTGATGAATGGTGTCGTGTTCCAAACCCTCAAGTGGAGCCCCAATGGTAAAAGATGAGTTAGGCATGGGCCCGAAGGTGACATGGAGATTATGTGGGGAAGAGATAACAGCTTATGGGCAATCGCGGAGTCAACTAAAGACGACTGCATAGAACAAGAGAGGAAATGGAGATGTGTGCTCCTGAAGCCCCCATGTTCCCCTCGGAACCAAAGGAAATAATAATTTATGACAATATATACTATGATGATTAACAAAAAATAAGGAAACCAGAAAAACAGAAGTTAACATCAACTGCAACAGTGTACAAACTAATGAGGAGTTAATAAAATGGGAGGAAGGGTAGAAACACAACAGATAGGGGGGGGACAAAAGCAACACACATTCGCGCGCGCATACACACACACATATACATGCATACATTCAAAGGATTGCAGGATGATAAATGCAAAAAGTAGAATAACTAACCACAAAATAGTTTTCATTTATCAAATGAGCACAAAACAATAAAAGTGAAAAGAAATGAGATGAAACAGGAATATTTTTGATGCATAATATAGAAACGGTGTTTGATCATCGTCACATATCACATAACTAACAAAAATATTAGTAGTAGTAGTAGTAAAAAATTAGCTCTAATACTGTCACAACAACTATTGCCAAAAACAGAAGAGAAAAAACAGAGAACACAATCAAAATAGTTGAGTAGGTAAGATATTAGCAAAAATACAATTTCACCTACAGCATGTGTTTTCTTTTCATCAATCAATCAATCGGTCGATCATTGCTACTAGTACTAGTACTACTGGTCACCAGTCCAAACACGACTCATATCAAATGAAAAGTCTCTACTACGCATACGTCTAGTCGCTTCGATAAGACTAATTTCTCTACGATCCAATTCAACTTGACGTTGTACTTCTAGTGTTGCACCTAATGGTTTATTTAGGTATTTTGGGGCTGGAGTCTCTAAAACTGGACCAATCACTTGATTGCCGAATTTGATAATTCTTTCTGGAAATAATAATCTTGATTGAACATTGAATAGATTTTTATAATAGACAAATCCAGTGATCTAGAATTGTTTTTTTAACGGGAAAATAATAATTTAAAGGTTAGATATAAAAGAGAAAAAATAGAACAATAAAATGTTAGCAAGATTGTGTAATTGATCTGCTAACTACATATATATAATTGAGTGGCAACTTGAATCAACTCTGCCATACCATAATACCACAAATTCAACCTAAACGGGGTCATAAAACTCCAAATATCAGTTCGTAAAGGATGTCCACCATCCCCGTTTCTATTCAATTTCGCCATGGATATACTAATGAAATTAACCCTAACTCATTTGAGAGACTCAAGGATTGACTTGTTACCAGGGAATAATCTCGTTGACTTAGAATATGCAGATGATATAGTCCTCCCTCCTAGGTGAGGAAGATGCTGACAAAATACAGTCTTCTAAACATCTTGAGCTGAGCAGCAATCTTTGAATATTTGACATGTGATTCACTCCTGCTGTCAAATGTAAGATGATACTACAGGACTGGACTGGACTACATTGACTCCTAGCTTAGACATAGAGTGACCACTTCACTTATTCGGGAAGTTGCATCAGCCAACGTCAACGGGTTGATCGCTGATGAAATCTTAGCTCGAATGAAGAAGGCTCGGTGCGCATATGTCATTTTACGCCGTCTCTGGAGTACACGTGTTATCCGGTCGGCTGTCGACCAAAGGACGTGTGTACTGCTCATCAGTCCATCCTTCATGGCTAACTGTGATACCTGACGATTGAAAATGGAGGACATGAAAGGGCCGGCTAGCTTTCTTTGAGCATAGGTGCCTGTTCTATCTCCAGTGTGAAATGGTATAATAGGGTGAGCAATATTGTGGTTAGGCGTCGAGTGCTAGGTAAAGAGGGGAAATCAATCGACGAGGCTGTGAAGCTACATCGACTGAGATGGTTAATACATGTGTTACGGACGCCTAGTCCTCGCCTTCCTCTACAACGGGCAATGTTAGTTGACATAGGGTCAGGATGGAAAAGAGCTAGCGGCAGTCAAACCAAAATATGGCACCAGTCAATGAAATCTACAACATTTAGTTTAAGCCACGTAGGAAAGTGCAGACTTCCTGGTTGAGGTCCTCGAGACGGTAAACACCAGTGGTTGGAGACAATTGGTGATATGGCTCAAAATCGTTCTCAATGGCTGGTGTAGATGCATTCACTCCTTGTGACTTACAATACCCAATAAAACTATACTGTTCTTCGATGCTACTATTCTTTTTGCCTCATATCTCTGTTTACTGTGTCCGTTTTTTATTTGTTTTTACTTTCCTTTCTTGATTTGTGTGCTAAGTGAAGTGTGGTGGCTCGAACTGCTGCACATTGGTACAAAGTTCTATGTTGAAACCAGTCAGTCAGCCATATCAGTCTACAGTTTAATACAGATTGAACTGGATTACAGAGTTACTTTGTAGTCGTTTGTAGTGATACGTTGTTTGATGACAGACTGAATTATGCTTGGCATGTTGACCACCTCATTTACCTGAGTAGCCATATTATCTTGGTGGGTTAGTAGTCAACAACAGTTGGCCATGGATACAGTAATCTTGTTCAATATTCAATTACCTCCCTTAGATGAGATATCCACAAATCGAGTGTACTACAAGAACAAAAACTGCTTTTTTCACTTCCATATGACATACGACTAATGAAGACCTACTTGCTTAAAAACACAAGGACCAAATGACTGAGTTTCAGCACAGAACTTTACACAGAGGTACAGTAGTCGAAGTTGCCACACCCCATGAAACACACAAGTGCAGAAAAAGAGGATTCAAAAGGACTGTAATAAGCAACAGAAAAGTGCAGGAGAAAGAAATAGTAAAGCATGGAGGAACATTAGGGTTTAAATGATTTGGGAAATGACAAAGAGTAAACGCAGCTGCACATCCGCAATTGAGAACGATTTCGAGCCATATCACCAATTATTTCCAACCATTGGTTCTTAGCATCCTGAGGACCCCGACCAGAAAGCCTACACCTCCCTACGTGGCTCAAACTATAAGTCAAAGACTCAAGAAAGTGAAACGCTGTTGCTTTCAGAACACGACCTAGAAATGACACAGTCATTATGGAAACAAATTACAGGATACGTACAGGACTTCGGGTAAGTAAGTTAATCGATCGGTTGATGAAACTGCAATGTTAGGATGACTAGTCGCTGCCTGCGTCAGCTTAAAAAATAAGTTAAAATAGACAAAAATTAGATAACGAACGCTTTGTGTTGCCAAAACAAACCTATTAATCCATGGAAACAGTGAATATCGGTAAGGAGGAATGCAATTTCACTGGGTAGGAGTTAAAGAAGCAAAACGGTCTACCGAATTTTCCGCTCAGAATAACTATCTCAGGTTTACTCTGTTTTATGCTACTTTAAACAGTCCATATATTGTATGGTGTACTGATACACATCACATAAAAGTGTTTAGTTTATTATTAATAATCGCCTGAGTTCTGAGTGAAACATAAGTCTTCAGCATCGCATCTTTATTTCACTCGATTCTCTGCAATGTTTTTTTTTCAAAGCTGGTTCTACAATTTGAAGAAATTTGATGGATGGCGACTACCAATGTATTACAGGGTGAGCATTTCGTTCCATTTGGGAATCGTCTGTTGCATGTCCCAATTTGTGGTGTCCCTACTGAGACTCGAACCTAGTACCTATCGTTTCAAACGTGGAAGCGTTATCCACTTGAGTCGAAAAAAAAGTAACTGATACCGATTGCACTAGAGGTCGCATTAATGACCCAAGTGGTCTTGTGAATAATGCTTCGGCATTTGAAACTATGGGTACTGGGTCCGAGTCCCAGTGGGGACACTATCGCTGGGAATGCAGGTACATCCAGCCGAAGAGTTTCACACGGGACGAAATGTACATCCCGAAATACACTGGTAGTCACCACCCGCCCAACTTTTTTTCAAGTTAGTTCTCAGACATTGTCAAAGTATCCGTACTAGAAGCCGACATGTCAACAGAGGCCGAACATTTCGGTTCACTCAGTCAACAGGAATATCAAGATCGAATTAGAAATATACAATGGCTTCACAACTTCCTATTTGTTAATATCTAAAGGTGAACAAGTACGTTTGAGTATTTTCAAACTGCTGACAGCTATTAGAATATTACACCGACTTACGAGACAATATCCTCTAGAAATGTTTACACATTATGATACAGAATTAATAACCAGATTAACCCAAATTAGTGATCATTATTCCAGTTTATGAAAAAGACAGAAAGAATAAAATGTCCACCAGTGATAATTCCAGATGGATAAGAAAAACTAACAAACTATTTAATATCCTAGGATCTGTAGTCTACAGTACACTTTGAGGACACCTGGAGAACAAAACAGCTGACGAAACTTCTGTGTAAAAGTGAAGGAAGCGTTTGATGTTTACTAAACTGAGTCATTCATGTCACCGGTCTAAGATCTGTCTGTCTGGATTCAACATAGAACTTGTCACCGAAGTGCAGCACTTCGAGTTGCCACGTTCCAAATAGCACACAAAGATAGACAAGAAGATGAGTGAAGAGAATCAATAGAGTTTGGCAAGTATAAGAGTGAAACAGAATGGGTAATGGTAGAAAGGAATATGAAAGATTACAGAGACTGAATACATCTGCGCCATTGACAACGATTTTGAGCTGTGTCACCTATTGTCTCCAGCCATTGATTCTTAGGGTCCCGATGGCCCCAACTTGGAAGTCTGCATCTTCCTACCTGACTCAGTTTAACTGTCAAGGATTTCATGGATTGATGCCATGTTTTTGTTTGGCCACTTAATCTTTTTCAGCCTGCACCTATATCAGCTAGTAATGCCCGTCGGGGGGGGGCGATGGTTAGGCATGCGCAGCACGTGACCTAGCCATCTTAATCTATGTAACTTTATAGCCTCGTCGATTGATTTTCCCTCTTTGCCCAACACTCTTCGCCTAACGTCAACATTACTTACCTTATTAAACCACCTAACGTGAGACAGAGATCGCAGACATCTATGATCGAAAGCAGTCAACCTTTTCATTTCTTCAACTCGTATTGGCCATGTTTCAGAGCCATAGAGAAGGATGGAGCGAACTGCTGAGCACACGTCCCTTGGTTGATAGCCGGATGTCACACCTACGCCAGAGATGGCGTACGTTAGCGAAAGCAGCTCGAGCCATGTATCACAGACAGTACATGCTGACCAGTGATCCAGAAAACTGTATTATTGTAAAAGTTGCTCACAAGGAGAAACACACCGATTGAGACAGATAGACAGATTGGGAATTTGAACACTACGAAAACTCTCTGAATACTTGTTTACTCCCTTTTTCTCACCACATTAAAAAGCAATACAGTGCTACCAACCAATTATATGATAAGAGCTATACGGTCTATTTACACTAATTGACAAGTAACAATAATAACCATTTATACAAATCAAAATAAAGTAGAAGAGTATTTACAGTTTATAGAAGAATAGGACTTACCAAACCGCATAAGCATACGAATAACGATTCATATGACGTCATGGCAATCTGTTTTTTGAAGGAAAAGAAAATATCATTCGGGGAAGAAATTTACTATTCAACTTACTTCAAGTCCAAATATATACGGGAAAGATTTCCCAGTTATCGGAATACCCATCACATGGGCAACAGGTACCCATGGAATATCCAGAAAAAACGGAACAAAGAGTGGAAAAATTAAGTTATATCTGAAGGTTAAAATAAATGGAAAGTATATATTTAAAATAAAAGAACTTACGGTCCAGATGGCAGTATATGAAGTGAAAAACTTAATTTTCGTAGGATAAATGCCATTAGTAATTCAATTAACGTTGTTGTAGTAGCACAATAGAACAGAAATGACTAAAAAGAAATGAAAAGAGAAAGGGGAAGAAAATTTCCCAAAAAAAGAAATAAAATATACGACTTACTAGAAATTTTCTTGGACCATAACGTCGTTCAAATATTCGAAAATAGTACAACAATAAACCACCACAGACTAAATCTTTTGTACTGAGGAAAGCCAACTGACAAAATACCAATCTCCATACCTAAAATGTTGTTTTGATCAAATTATAATTGTGATATATGATTTTGTTATTATGCTAACCGATCCATTTTCAAATATATCGTCTAAATTGTATGTGAATATATCCTTTTGTTTTGCAAACGGCATCAGTAATATGAAGGAGGAAATCATACTGAGAGCTAGGAAACATTTTGTAATAGTTGTTTTGTCTACAATGAAATGCAGTACATAAATTAACAGTCAAATAAGTAGAAGTAATTTCCAAGAGAATATTTATAATAGTGGGGTGATCTAAGAAGATACATGTTTAATTATGCAGAAACTGGCGGCAACATATCCTAAAATACGTCTGACGCTTACAACTGGATCAAGGGACGTCCAAGTATATGCAGAGGAGCTGGAAAACCTTGATTCCAAAACTATGGTGCACAGATTCCAGAATTTGAAAGGATTGAATGGCGGATGGGCCTGTTTGTCACTGGCAACTATGGGAACGCGGTTCCTGACGTCGCTCTACTGCCATTGCAGATCAAGCTTCAAATCATAGACTCGGGATATACTCCCTTAAGATAATCCATTGATTCCGGTAGTATGCCAGAAACAATGATCATTAGGACTATAGTCGCGTGCTTACTATTACACACTGTATCTCTAGTCATATATTTCGCTAAAAAAATTATAAAAAGGTATGCATCTGCTAAATTTGTTTGTAAGTATCAAGCATTTCCATGTCATTAATTTAACTTGGCGCTTCATCGAAAGTGACAGCGCGGACTGATGGACTGATCACTCTTGCTTAATCTCTTATGGTCAGCAATAATAAAGCTAGGTACAGCGTAGTGTTAGGTAGGCAGTCGAGGTCGACCGAAGAGATTATATAGATGAAGCGACTGAAATGACTAAGTTGGAAAAGGGTTATGTGCAACCAAGGCCAAAAGACAGTACCGTTAGTTTAAACCAAGCATGGAGGTGTAGTCTGCCTAGCTGGAGTCCTCAGTGGGTTACAAAGTCAACTAACTGACCGAAATGTGCAGTAGAAGATTGACGCGATACTAATCATAGCAGTGATGCATTCGTATACACTAGTGATGATCAGTGCGTTTTCACTTCCTAACTACTCTTGTGTGGGATACGTAAACGTACGTAAGAAAAGAGTAAAATAAATTCTCTTTCTAAACGTGTAAAGTACGCACTTATGCCTTGGAGCATAAGTATAACATCCAGAACAATGCATAAAGCAGAGAAAAATTCAGGCGCAACTCGATGAGAGTAGAAATGACCAGAAATTAGGTTAATTCGCACCCAAAACAATGACTAATTCATGCATTATTTTGGAAACTTCAAGGCACCGGTGTCCAAAATATGCCAGAACTTTATTTTTACGTATCGAGTTTGAAGTCAATGCCTGTCCAAAGTTCGGACTGACTGTATTCAGCGAAATTCATTCTAAATCCCCACGTATTATTTTGGTCAGCTTGTTCTACACTAAATGGTTATCCCTGCACCTAAATAAACAGTTAACGCAATGTACCACTACATATATATACCCATCTAAAATGAATCTACTATGTATTGACTTAATGCTGGTCGTCCTTAAAAAGAGCACTGAACGCTTAATTAATGCGACGAAACCCTAAATATAAGATTTGCAGCTGAAAGAATATCTTTACTACGAGCTGATTTAAATCTCTCTGTTCTGAACCAATGCCATTCAGTGCTTAATCTGGGCTGAGAGGGCCGAAACAAAGCTGATTAGCAAACCAAGTGTGTTCTTGAGGTACTTCTAATGATACCTAGTAAAAGCACATGGTGCTGAATTAGCGCCAGTCATGCTGAAAATCAGCATTGAGTTTTAGTCTGCGGGCATAGTCAAACCACTTCAGAATTTACTCATTATAGGATATTAGAGATACTTCAGAATTAGAGAGATTTAACTCAGCATGAGAGCGAGCTCGAGTTGGGCTGAAAAGAAAATAAATGTCTTCACTTTCATGCATGATTGAGAACTTTGTAATTCACCGTTTATTATACTTAAGGCCGTGGCTGTAACTTTTCAATACAGTCAACAGATTCATGACTATATTATAATCTATATACTACAAATTCTGCATTAGATTGACTAAAAACACTGGAAGGGACAAACGATGAAGTGAAATGCACCACAGTGTGACATAAAATAATCTTTCACTATATCTGGCCCCCCACATGACGTACTAAGAGCTATAACAAAAACTTACAAAAGCCAGAATGACTTTGAGGCGCCAACATAGCACCACCTTTGGATTTGGCGCAAACGTAATCTTAAAGTTTCAGATCCTTGGTTGAGAATTGAAGGCGATAAATCTAATTAAATGTGTTTATCCAACTCTATGATGGGTGATGACAAACTGCATCAGCTATCGAATGCCCTTAAACAAAGAATCATACCAGGAGTGGGTCCAATGTAAGTTTTAACTAAAGAGCTTTTGCTGATCTGACTTACTTGCTTTTACTGTCTAGGGTTTAGATCACCAGTTAGATAAGGATTATTAGTTAGGCGTAAGGCTAGGTTTGGGATCAAGTGTTAAGGTTATGTTTGAGCGTTGGGAGTAAGATGAGGGTTAGGGTATTGCATAATCGTCTTACTAAGAAGAGTTAAGATTTCAAATTTATTCACTTTAAAAACACGCAAGGGGCTTTTCAGTATTTTGTTTGGATTGTTTGTTCGAGACCATTCTTTCGCGTCTTTAGTTTATCTTCACCCTTTATAAACGAGTTGGATGGCGGTCATGATATTTGCTCTAGAGATAAAGCAAAAATATTATGACTGATTAAGGGGGACAGTTCTTCACAGTAGCATGGGTTGTCTCTGAAATTCAAGCTCTCCTGCCGTCTCCCCTGAAATGGTCCGAAACCATGAAAATGTTAAAAGAAGACAGACAATTCTGACAGTCACATCATAGAATTTTAAACACTAATGATATCTGCTGTCTGCCTATGGTATGACAAATAGATAAGTTTCAAACTGTTCGGTCATTTGTTGTATGGAAAATTAGTTTCACCACTATTCACAGGGGTGGTCTTTCTCTGATCGTGAACACTTCACTGGTGTCTCAAATAACGAAGAACAAGGAGCTGCAGTGTTTAGGTCATGGTTCACTCTGGCACCTAGATCCGTTTGCTGTAGGACTGAAGGGCGTGGTATTTTCTCCACTTTGAATACTATGGTACCTGCGAGCTTTGCTACGTTGGTGGGGAGCACCACCTACTTGTACCAATCATGCAGACTGTATAGATCTCGCAACGTAAGTCTGTCTGTGTTTCACAAAGGCTTCCTCCAAATTTGTGGTCACCTGGATAGAGGTCCATTGAAAATTTCAGTAATCTGTCGATTTAAAGGACGAATAAGAGGGACTGAGTACAACACCCTTAGGCACATAATTTCGCAACTTTTCCAGAGAGAGGAAGTTTTGAGTCCACCCTGACATCTTATCTTTCTTAATTTTGGCTGGACAGGCTGCTCAGAATTCCAAATCTTTCCGATTTCACCAACAATCTTCTTCTGATCTAAGAAACTAGCTTGTTTCAGTATTCAGTGGATGGTCGGTGTGAGATGTCAGACCCTTGAGAAACCTTGGGTGGAGTTAATCGGGCCTCACTAATTTCACAGTACAACCGGATGACTGACAGTAGCAGTAACATATAATGGAATAGCATACAAACATAACTCGTGCAACATAAAATTATTCTCCAATGTTTGTTCACTAGTGATGAGTTTATTTACAGATTCGGGGGCGCTGAAACACTCAAAAATATTTTATAGCTACGAAATAAAACGAGGAAAATACATCTGATTAACAGCTAATCTTTGCATCATGGTGACTTATTTGGCAGATTTTATATTGGATTGTGCCTTGTTTGGCGATGAAATGATTTCTCGGGTCTGTCAGGGTGCTGCGGCACAAGAAGGCTTTCTCCACTGACGATAAGTGCTTTTGAAGGTTTCAGCCTCAATCTATCTTTCTCGGATGCTTATTAGAAACTCTTAAGTCAGTAGTGCGAACTGTTAAAGATTTATCGTTCACCACTTGTGTGAATCCAGGCTGTCCACAACTACTTGTACCAGCCATTTAAAAGTGCGTCACCTCGAGTGGCCAGTGTGTTCATGTGTGTCAGTAGAAGAACATTTCGGGGCAGGTGTTTGCTGCCATGCCGCACAAGTGTGTATTGCCAGTCTCTCTCGATGCTAATGTCAATAAATTCATCTAATAAACCATTAGACTTTCCCTTATCTGGTTGGCGTGGCATTAGGAGAAGCCGGACCACCGGGTTGAGGTGTCTTCGAATCCTACCTCAAAAGAGCAGTTCCAGTTGGATAGACATACCCTGCGATGATGAGCACTAATCCGCCTAAAGCTCGACAGAAAAATGAACTGTAAGCCTTCCAGACAACGAGACTAGCTGGCTTTCAAGAAAAGCACATCACAGCATGAAGAACCGCAAATGTAGAAATTGGATATAAGGTCGCAAATAGGTGGATTCATTCTGCATCCTTCGTTTGTTGAGTACAGCCAGAGAGTAAGACAGGTGGTTCATTGTCTGGCTCGAAACGCATCCTAGAGGCACTGAAACTATTTTAGTGAACAGAAGACATTCAGACTAGGAGTGGAAAAAGAACTAGACCTTGACAAGAAACCATTCTTCAGTGTTTATCAAAACCTAAACGGCAAAGTCGAGATCTTACAATGTGTCAGACATTCGTATACTCGTTTATGTCGAGCTTTCGCAGTTGTTGTTATTGCTGCGCCAGATAATTAACTTCCGAATCCTATTCAACGCCGGAAAGTAAACAGAAAAATTTTATTGTTTCTTGTACGTATGTTTCCATTCTCATCAAGTAGTTTGTGACCCTCAGATACCCGCCCTCAAAGATATATAGATAGCAGGAATGCTGCAGCTAGTGTAATTTCTTGAAACATGTTGTGGGGATCCAACTTCTTTTTTGAAGTGTTCATCAAAGGAATCGCTAGTGACAATACCTGGAAAGAATATCAGTCGTAAATCTCCAAGTGTGCAAATCCGAAACGCGCATGTAGGCGGTTCGATGACAGTTCAAGAATCTTTTCGTGACCGTCTCTCAGAGATGTGCTAAGAATGGTCATGTTGAAGAATTAACAGCCAAGTCATCATTTAATGCGTGATGACACGATGTGAAAGCGTTTATTTCCTTGCGATATGATAATGAATATTGGTTTAACGTTTACTCTCCTTTTAAAATGGAAGGTATGATGTTTTTTAAATAGCCGCGCGACTACACTCCATACTGTTTCTAAGATTTTTTCAGAATTCACACCCTGTCTCTAAGGAATGAGGAAATTCAGAGGGCATTCATCGTTAATATTGTTGATGTCGGAAGGCTTTCAGTTGTCAGGTTAAGGTCTTGAAGGTTTTTTCGTAAAAGAACAGTAGCAGAGAAAATATGTAACTGAAAATAACAACGTAGAGTATTGATTAAATAAACGTCAATTACGTATGTGTATCTAAACGAAATATATACGGTAGTAAGACACTTGAGAACTACTAAAGCTTCGTTGTCATGTGGTGGTAGAAGTTTTTTGGTGTCACAGGTGAACATTATTGGTAGACTAAGGAGTTTTACTACTGTCACTATCCCCTTTTTCAAATTTCCTTGATTAATATGCAGCGAAGCGTTGTTAGGGGTAATTCTGAGAATCCAATACTAATACAAGTTGAACCGATGTCTTATATAAATTATTCTAAGTGCTTTTGGCTTATAACCCCGTGGTCACTCAGATGCAGTTAGTGATTGAGGAACTTTGATGTACGAGACGAACAAACGGATAGGAAAAATATCCACTTTATGATTTGTAGGGCGTTGAACGATTTTAAATGATGAGTGGATTTCCCCTGCCTACCACTGTATTTTCGACACAGACTTTCAAACTGCTGGGATAATACACTGTCAGCCAATTCTCAGAAACTGTCAATGCCCAGTTCTTACTACGCTGGACCTCACTCTGTCCGTGGAAGACTTTCAGAAACAATTTGTATTAACCAACGCGAAAAACCAGAACACAGATTGGTGACTCGAGAATCCTTTATTCTTACACCAACATGTAACCAACAGAAGATTATTATACACAAGATCTAAGAATAAGTGTTAAAACAATAAACCACGATAATACTTCTGATAGTTTCCTCTCTTCCACAGAACAGCGAACGATGAGACGATGACTGCCGGATAGATGACTCCCGCGAAAAATATGGAGGAGTTGGGTTTGAACAAACAACCATGAATTGATCGTTCAATCTTCAACCACAATGACATACGCATTAGTGGTTTGTATTCTGGGTAATTTTCTCAATAAAAGAGTCAGCCACCAAGCCACAAACAATTTTAGGATGTACGCTTTAAGACGGTATCTAAATGTTGATAAGTCCTACATAACCAATCAACCAAGGTGTTAATTTGGGAGGGCAGAACATCAGAGGGACTTGCTAGTTTCAGTCATATTATTGCCAGAGTTAATTACTCCTGGCGAATTTATTAAAGTGAGTGAGGCGAAGAAACTAATGGAGTTGGGGGAAAGTATATTAACTGTGCATAAGGAAAGTTTGACATGAAGTTTGTTTGGTTGTGGTGCAGTAGCACTGATTGATGCATATTACATCATATATAATTACCCAGCTACATGGCATCGCTTTCACGTCTGGAATCAAAGGTAATCAAATTTAATGAGAGAAGAGTTGAATGGCTTTCTAACAGCTGAGATATTATGACATGTGCAGAATGTGTTCATATCTTTGTATAGACGCCGTTCGACCTCAGTGAGCGCTTCACGCAGTATGATTTGAGGAGGTAGTTATTTTAGGAGTTGCGGCCCATTAATTACGTATCCATATCTAATCTCCTCTAGCTGTTTGTGAGAAGAACTTTGACTATTTTCGGGTTCAATTAGGGATGAGTGGTAAAATTTCTCATTAACCCGATATGAGTTTTACAATCAATTAACCTGTATTTTTAAACAGGAGAGTTAAAAGCATACTTCTTTGCTTCTATCTATCCCCTTTGACTGTTAGTGCTAAAAATCCAAGGCATCTGTTGGCTGTGCGAATTCCTGCCCATTTTACATGTGGTTTTCTTGTATCAATATCAACATAGCCTCCTTAATGTTCCCGTTAACCGTTGGTTGCTAAATATCCCGACTTACAGAACAATACACTTACATGAGATGATTCAAACCGTATCAACTCTAAAATGCTGGTTC